GATTAGATTATAGTATTTATCTGTAATAATATAATTTAAATAGTTGTTAGTTGTAAGACAATGTTTCCCAGACTGTTTTACTGCTCCCACTACTCTTTACTAGTAATCTTATCATTGTCTTCAATGAGACACAGGATATAGATCTATTATAATAATTGTTAGTTTTATAGTAACTGCTGGTAGTTCGTCAACAACAGCTGCTACTAGAGACTAAAGCCCAACATACACTATGCAACATTTGTTGCAAACAAAATGTTGCATAGTGTATGTTGGGCTTAATGAAGATCAACCATCAGGTAATTAGATATTAATAAATGATTCAGTCACTGATGTACATTATACACTTATCGTTATAGGAGCTACTGCTGTTATACCTGGTAGGCTGGTACTTGTACATGTTTTGTTTTAGTTTATTGATATTTTTAGACCATCTTGATTATTTTGATTATTATTATGAAATTATTACTATGAATGACTGACTTTTATGTAGACTAGTTGATAGTCTAATGCCCACCTGACATTACATAGTTAAGGGAAAAGAGCAAGAAAATAATAATAATATTTATTACATTCATTGATACTGTAGTAATGCAGTAATGCTATTTTAAACCACACCTTAATAACCAGCAATCTGATTGGTCAGTTACAATTTTAATGAAATTGAGTGGCTATATAAGCAGCATCAATTAAATAGCTGCACACAATCAGGTTCTTGGGAAGCTGATCATAAAGAGAGAAAAATATTGTTCTGACTAGTCACAAGAAATGGATCATGTGGAGCCGCATAGTGTTGAAGAACAGGCGAAGGAAAAGCTTTTGAAAGAAAAAGTCGTTGAAAAAGGTATGTTTGATTGAATTGATTCTAAACTCACCATGCAACATCATCAACATGTATATATGTTGCTAGCAACATTAACTTTGATCTTGTAGAATATATAGCACTTACTCACTTGAAATTTTTTGAAACCTAATTTTTTCTTTTTTAATGTCTATAATTGTGTCAGTTAAATACATCAAATAACTTTTTGTAGGCTTAGATCTCCCATCACATGTTGCTGTTTATGAAGAATTTACATATGTTGACAATCACACTGACATATACAAGATGAATACCGTGCCCCGTGGCTACTGCTTGATCATTAATATGAAGAAAGGACGAGAGGAAGAAAATCAGGCAGATGTTGAGAGTTTGCGTAGCTTATTTGAAGGTACTCTCAAATTCACCTTTGATGTCTATGAGGATTTAACCAAAGCACAAATTGATGAGCTGATGCTAAAGGTGCAAGGTGCTGATCACACTCAGTTGTGCTGTTTTGTTATGTTCATTCTCGCTCATGGCATTCACGATCGAAATGAATCTGCTTGTTTTATGACTTTTGATGATATGCATTATAAAGTCTCCACTATTGAAAGGGAAATCGAGAATATTCCTGGTTTAGTTGGCAAGCCAAAGCTTCTTTTTTTCCATATGTGCCAACAAAAAATTTCTGACCATGGAGGCACATCTGATTTTTTGATATCTTTTGCAGGCATTAATTCTCCTGTCGCCTGGCGTGGCAGAAATGGAAGTCCTTTTATTCAGAGTTTATGTGATGTTTTCAGTAACCACTATACTACTAAGGAGGTTGGCCAATTGATGGCAATGGTTGCTGAAAGAGTGGCAGCTACTAGTGTGCAGATTGCCCCCAAAACCGGGATGAAAAATGTGAAGCAACATCCGGTTCATATATCCACACTCAGAAAGTCTTTTTACTTCGGAAAACCTCCACATTATGATACATATCCTCTCAATCGAACAAGCATTGACCCTCCACCCACAGTTTCTGATAGCACTACTATTGAGCCCAGTAATTATACAGGTATATATACAATCAATAATGTTTATTAATTAGCATTGCATGAAATATAAGGGGCCAGGCCAATCATATTTACAAAAAGTATTATTGTCAAGTCATAAAATTAGACCCTTATATAATTATATTATCAGTCATAAAGTTTTTTGTTTTTATATGTACTCACAACTAAATAATATGATGATAAAATTGTACATGTTATTTAAAGTTCACTCACTTTCACCTGAGCACAGGACTGAAGTGATGATATTTTTCATGCCATATTTTTGGTTTAGTGCTTGTACATACGTAGCCCTACCCAAGTATATACATACTTGCTAATACTATGATAAGTAATTACAGCAAGCCTTTAAAGCAAAGGCCTTAGCTAGTGTACTAGTAACACCAGTAGCTGCAGCAGTGGGAGAGAAATGGATGGTTAGTTTCAATTCCACCAATAATTCTAAAGTGTTCATGCATGCAGATGAACACAATAGACTTTAGCAGTGACTGAATCAAAACAGTGTGTTGTTATATTATCATTCTTAATTTTTTAGGAAAAATGCAAAAATGGCTGAAAGAAGGGGAAGTTGAGCTAGAAATCACTCGTATCAATATGCATGGTGCACCTGGAGCTGGTAAAACGTGTTCATTACACCTCCTACTTAATGAGCCACCACCATCTTCTACTGATAGTACACCAATAGCTTGTCGTGCTGTTCAAGCAACACAAATATCCATTGATGACAAAAATAAGAAGTGGGAGAGGGTTGGTATTATAAATTTACTTAACCAGTTAGCGTCTCATTTTAAAGAAGCACTAACGTCTACAGATGATGTACCTAATCACTCAGATGAATTATCACTGGAAGAACCAACAAGCATAAAGAAATCAACTGGTATGGAAGTAATTAAAGAAATCTCAAATGCTCTTGAAGCAGGAAAGCTTGAAAAATTAAGCACAAATTGGGTTTATTTTATTGATTCTGGTAGTCAACTAGCGTATCGAGAGTTGCTACCTCTTTTTACAAGAGCAGCTGCACTGAATATCATCACCATTGACCTTACCAAAGGTCTTGATGAGAAGTGCAAGTTTCAATATCGTATTGATCAACATATGTCTTCTATTGATACAGATCAGAAGTATTCCAATCGTGATATAATCCAATCAACAATTAGCTCCGAAGCTATGTTGAATCCCATTGAGATTCCTTATGTCTCTCGCATGCCCAAACATCCTCAATATCTCATACTTGGTACACGTAAAGAGTTGGTAACTGAAGCAAAGCTACAAGAAATGAATGAAATCCTGACAAGTAGCTTTAATCTTGACCTAAAAAATGTCATTCAGAATGCACCTCAAGAATCGATTATATTTCCAGTTGATACGTTGCTCCCTGCTGGGTCTAAGGAAAGAGAAAAAGCTAGTGTAGATCTTTGTACTGCAATTTCAAATTGTGCAGGTGCCATGACAGTTATGCTACCAATTCGATTGTTTGCTTTTGAGATTGCACTACAGATGGAAGCTGAGAAGAAGAACCGAAGTTTCCTTACAAAAAAGGAAGTAATTGAAATTGGTAAGTCCCTCCGACTTGATGATGAATCAGATATCAATGAAGCCCTGCGATATTTACACAATGTCACTATTCTTCTTTATTATCCTGCTGTCCTACCGAATTTAATATTTGTTGATCCCAAACCAATACTTGATGTCCTTTCACGTCTGATAGCTATCACATCTGTTGGCCGTGCCGAATTAAGTTTAATTGCTAATCCACCTCTTTCAGCAGATGAATTAAATAGCCTCAAAAATTTTGGTCTTCTTAAAACAAGTATTTTTGAAAAAATTGCGAGGCAAATTTTTAATAAAGATTTTCAACCGTCTCACATGATCAAGCTTCTAAGACACCTCCACATCATTGCCAGAGTCAAAAACAGAGAAGAAGAAGATTATTTTTTTTCGTGTGCATTATCATCTTATGATAAGCTCGATGACCCGCCAACAAAAGTACAACCACTTCTCATAGCATGGGAGATTAACAAGAGTGGAACAACAACTCTAGCCATTCCTCAAGGATTATTTCCTTTAGCCATCGTATACCTTTTGGAACAAGATGATGTGGCCTTCACTCCAGTAGGCAAAGGATTCTACAGGTGTCACAATGCCATGTCACTTCGTGTTGACACAGAAAAGAAACAATACTACATAGATATCATCAATCGTTACACACATATTGAATTACGTTTTCATGGTCCCAAGAAATCTTGTCCACTAGCTTTTGAATTAGTCACAAAAGCTATCAAAAAAAGCAGCAAAAAGCTCAATGTTGACAAAAATCATATCTTGGCATTCAAATGCCCCAAAAATGAACATTGTTACTGCATCGTCCAGAATGAATTTTTCACCAGGTGTACTCAATGTCGACAACAGTGTGATGTACTGCAAGGTGATGATGGTAGCTATAGTTGCTGGTTTAAAGATACTCAATCATTCAGTTCAGGTCAGTATACTATTAAAGAGAATGTTTGATAAAAATAAAGAATTTAGAGAATGTGTGTAAATGAGAAAAATGAAATTTATTGCCACTTTAAGTAATAATTTCTTCATAATTTTAGGAAAAATAGAAAAATGGCTGAAAGAAGGTAAAGTTGAGCTGAAGGTCACTCGTATCAATATGCATGGTGCACCTGGAGCTGGTAAAACGTGTTCATTACACCTCCTACTTAATGAGCCACCACCACCACCTTCTACTGTGGTAGCTTGTCCTGCTGTTCAAGCAACAAGAATATCTATTGATGGTGAAAATAAGTGGGAGAGGGTCGATATTGAAGATTTACTTAACCAGCTAGCATCTACAGCAGTGGATGATGCTACAGATGATAGATCTATATCTGCTTATTCAGATAAATTGTCACAGGATGAACCATCCAAAAATGAACCAACCGATTCAGAAGTAGTTAAAAAGATTTTACATGCTTATAAAACAGGAAAGTCTAAAAAATTAAGTAGAAATTGGGTTTATTTTATTGATTCTGGTAGTCAACTAGCGTATCGAGAGTTGCTACCACTTTTTACAAGAGCAGCTGCACTGAATATCATCACCATTGACCTTACCAAAGGTCTTGATGAGAAGTGCAAGTTTCAATATCGTATTGATCAACATATGTTTTCTATTGATACAGATCAGAAGTATTCCAATCGTGATATAATCCAATCAACAATTAGCTCCGAAGCTATGTTGAATCCCATTGAGATTCCTTATGTCTCTCACATGCCCAAGCATCCTCAATATCTCATACTTGGTACACGTAAAGAGTTGGTAACTGAAGCAAAGCTGCAAGAAATGAATGAAATCCTGACAAGTAGCTTTAATCTTGACCTAAAAAATGTCATTCAGAATGCACCTCAAGAATCGATTATATTTCCAGTTGATACGTTGCTCCCTGCTGGGTCTAAGGAAAGAGAAGAAGCTAGTGTAGATCTTTGTACTGCAATTTCAAATTGTGCAGGTGCCATGACAGTTATGCTACCAATTCGATTGTTTGCTTTTGAGATTGCACTACAGATGGAAGCTGGGAAGAAGAACCGAAGTTTCCTTACAAAAAAGGAAGTAATTGAAATTGGTAAGCCTCTCCAACTTGATGATGAATCAGATATTGATAAAGCTCTCCAATATCTACACAATGTCACTATTCTTCTTTATTATCCTGCTGTCCTACCGAATTTAATATTTGTTGATCCCAAACCAATACTTGATGTCCTTTCACGTCTGATAGCTATCACATCTGTTGGCCGTGCCGAATTAAGTTTAATTGCTAATCCACCTCTTTCAGCAGATGAATTAAATAGCCTCAAAAATTTTGGTCTTCTTAAAACAAGTATTTTTGAAAAAATTGCGAGGCAAATTTTTAATAAAGATTTTCAACCGTCTCACATGATCAAGCTTCTAAGACACCTCCACATCATTGCCAGAGTCAAAAACAGAGAAGAAGAAGATTATTTTTTTTCGTGTGCATTATCATCTTATGATAAGCTCGATGACCCGCCAACAAAAGTACAACCACTTCTCATAGCATGGGAGATTAACAAGAGTGGAACAACAACTCTAGCCATTCCTCAAGGATTATTTCCTTTAACCATCGTACACCTTTTGGAACAAGATGATGTGGCCTTCACTCCAGCAGGCGAAGGATTCTACAGGTGTCACAATGCCATGTCACTTCGTGTTGACACAGAAAAGAAACAATACTACATAGATATCATCAATCGTTACACACATATTGAATTACGTTTTCATGGTCCCAAGGAATCTTGTCCACTAGCTTTTGAATTAGTCACAAAAGCTATCAAAAAAAGCAGCAAAAAGCTCAATGTTGGCAAAAATCATATCTTGGCATTCAAATGCCCCAAAAATGAACATTGTTACTGCATCGTCAAGAATGAATTTTTCACCAGGTGTACTCAATGTCCAGTACAGTGTGATGTACTGCAAGGTGATGATGGTAGCTATAGTTGCTGGTTTAAAGATACTCAATCATTCAGTTCAGGTCAGTATACTATTAAAGAGAATATTTGATAAAAATAAAGAATTTAGAGAATGTGTGTAAATGAGAAAAATGAAATTTATTGCCACTTTAAGTAATAATTTCTTCATAATTTTAGGAAAAATTGAAAAATGGCTGAAAGAAGGTGAAGTTACACTAAAAATCACTCGTATCAATATGCATGGTGCACCTGGAGCTGGTAAAACATGTTCATTACGCCTCCTACTTAATGAACCACCGCCAGCTTTTACTAATAGTACACCAATAGCTTGTCGCGCTGTTCAAGCAACACAATTATCCATTGATGAAGAAAATAAGACGTTGAAGAGGATTGAAGAACAAGATTTATATGACCAACTAGCAGCTCATTTAAAAGAAAATGAGAAAATGCCTACAGAAAATGATGAAGCACCAATGTCTGAAGATGATGATATATCTGATAGTTCAGGTGAATCATTAATGGAAGAATCAACCACAATTGAACTGCCCACAAATGAACCAGTCAAGAATGAACAATCTGAGAACGAGCCAGTCAAAAATAAACCAGCCAAGAAAAAACCAGCTGAAAATAAGCCAATTGAAAAAAAACCAATTGAAATGGAAGTAATTCAAAAAGTTACAGAAGTTCAACCAACTACAAATACTACAAAATTAAGCACAAATTGGGTTTATTTTATTGATTCCGGTGGTCAACCAGCATATCGAGAGTTGCTACCTCTTTTTACAAGAGCAGCTGCACTGAATATCATCACCATTGATCTTACCAAAGGTCTTGATGAGAAGTGCAAGTTTCAATATCGTATTGATCAAAATGAGGCACCTATTAATACAGAGCTGAAGTTTTCTAATCTCGATATAATTCGCTCAACTATTAGCTCCGAAGCTATGCTAAATTCTATTAAAATTCCTTATGTCTCTGAGTCTGACATGCCCAAGCACTCTCATTATATTATACTTGGTACACGTGCAGATGACAAGTCAGTGACTAAGGAAAAGCTAACAGAAATGAACGAAAGCCTGAGAGAATATGAATCTGATGATAAAGTCATTAAGCAAAAGCAGCATTCAGACTACTCGGTTATATTTGCAGTTGATACGTTGCTCCCTGCTGGATCTCAAGGAAGAGAAAAGGCTAGTAAAAGTCTTTATGATACAGTTGCAAATTGTCAAGTTGAAATGAAAGTTACGCTACCAATTCGATTGCTTACTTTTGAAGTTGCACTACAGTTAGAAGCTAGGAAGAAGAAGGAACGGAGCGAACAGAGTTTCCTTACAAAAGAGGAAGTGATTAAGATTGGTAAGCCTCTCCGACTTGATGAATCTGATATCGAAGATGTTCTGCAATATCTACATGATGTCACTATCATTCTTTATTATCCTGATATTTTAGAGAATATAATATTTGTTGATCCTGAGCCGATTCTTGATGTCCTTTCACATCTAATAGCTGTCACATACATTGACCATGAAAAGTTACATTTAATTGCTGACGAAATACAGGTTTGTGAAAGAAATGAGCTTATAAAATCTGGCTTTTTTGGAAAAGCTCTTTTAGAAAAAATTGCAAAAAAACAGAAAATTTTAAATGATTATTTCCAATTGTCTCACATGATTAAACTTCTAAAGCACCTCCACATTATTGCTGAAGTGAAAAATAAAGAAGAAAAGGTTCATGTCGTCACTGACATTGAAAAAAAAGGAAAATATTTTTTTCCGTGTGCATTACCATCTTACAACAAGCTCAATCCCACTCCAACAACAATACGACCACTTCTCATAGCATGGGAGATTGACGATAGTGACACAACAACTCTAGCCATTCCTCAAGGATTATTTCCTTTAACCATTGTACACCTTTTGGAGGAAAAAGATGTCATAGGCTTCAGCCCAGTAGGCAAAGACTATTACAGATATCATGATGCCATGTCACTCCGTGTTTACAAATACTACACTATAGATATCATCAATCGCTATACACATATCGAAACACATTTTCATGGTCCCAAGGAATCTTGTCCACGTATTCGTGAATTAGTCTCAAATGCTATCAAAAAAAGCAGCAAAGAGCTCGATGTTGACCAAAATCACATCTTTGCATTCAAATGCCCCAAAAAGGAAAGCTACTGCATCGTCCAGAAAGATAAATCTTCCACTTTGTGTCCATGCAAATCACCATGTGATGTATTACAAGGTGATGATAGTAGCTATAGATGTTGGTTTAAAGACTCTCAATCATCCAGTCAAGGTTAGTAATGCACAACAAAGAGTATACAACCATTAATATATAAGCATCACTTTTAATTCATTTGAAATCATGAAGTTAGTTTAATATAACTTATTAATATTATAATGTAATTTTTTAGCATGCAGTAGGTTTCTTTTTAGACCATTAAACTTTTGTTTATTTTATTTTTCAAGCTTTAAAAACACATAAAATCAGAGAAACACACAAAGTAGAAAAGGAATGAAAATTAAACAAAATAATAGCTGGTTTATTATTAATACTTATAGAGGTTCTCTCTACCTTATAATGACTTATAGCAGAGGCATATTTAGGGGGGGCTGAGGGGGCTTGAGCACCCCCCTCATGGCTGGGCTCAGAAAAAAATTACTCAAATCCTGGACTCTTGCATCACTACTAAGCCTCCTAACAAAGTTATCTAGCCCCCTGATCATAATTTCAGCAGTTTCCAGTGCTTAAGGAGCAATCAGAAGTACTAAGGTCCATTTGTGTTCACCTGAGCCCTTGTTTTCTTGCAATAACTTTTGACTTACAAGTTCTATTGTAAAAATAAACATACCAGTGCATTCCTCTCCTTTTGCCGCATCTATTGTACTACTTAAGAAGCAGCTATAGCTCTTTAGCTTCAAGTTGGTTGTATAACCCATGCAGAAAGTACAGCCATACTTTTCACAACTATAATTATTGCATTGTGTTAATTATTGGGTGGGGTCTGTAATCACTTCCTGGGCTCAGGTGAATGCAAATGGACTTTAGTAGCATGGCAGTATGCTTGAAATGATCTTGGCCCCACCCGTAATTGACAAAAATGCAGGAAAAGGCCGTTTTACCGCCGTAAAAGTGGGTGTGGCCAAAATTGCGGCGCACTTCGTGCGCCCTCAGCACCCCTCTCCTCATATTCCTAGATACGCCCCTGTTATAGAGTCACTATAGGTCACTGTAAATGATAGTGTTATGTATAGTATAGTATACTGTATGGTTATTGCTCACATAAATAAATTCTTACATATAAATATTTATAAAATTTTATAATGGTTACACTGCATTTTTTTCTTATGGACCTATTTGTGAAATTCCTATTTGTGGTATATGCAATTGTTATCATATCACTGACAATATTTTGAACCAGCAGCTGCTGTTTATTTGTATGTATTTCATGTGTATGAGATTCAGTGTGCCAATAATGCACCAATTACACCTGCTACCTAATGAAATTAAAATTAAATTGTCTTAACCAATTGTTTTTACTCTTTCCCAATTTCTTCTACAGTTTCTGATGATACCACACAAGACAATACAGCACCAGCTCCTACTACTCCTGATGATGGAGCCACAAGCAATGCTGGAACAGAAGAAGGTATTTTATAATTTTAACTTATAATGCCTTATTTTCAGAAACATAAAATTATAACATTTTGACATGTGAATTATCTATAATTATAATTATTACAATTTTCATAAATGCATACCTTTAATTCTTTGAACTGCTTAAAATTAAATTTCACAAATTTGCCCAATAATATATTTTTAAAGATTTAGTTTTTGAAAAATTACACTCCTTCCTACCTTATGCCATTACAAATTGATTTTCATGGGTTTAATTCATTCAAATCTTAATTCAGAAATCTGCAAAATTTACAACCATCATTAATTTTGCACTGTATTGGTGTTGCTAGTTTCATGTCACTTTGCTATCATAATGTAGGACAACCTTCAGCTCAAGTCAACCAGCCACCAACTACTGGAGGAGGTAATAATTAATAATGAAGATGTGATTAATAGAACTGCATGTAAACATTGATTCAACAATATGCAGTGTGAAGACTAGCTTGCTTGAGTACATTTATCTGTTATCATTTTGTGTTCTTTTTTAGGCAATACAACTATTATACATCATCATCATCATTACAATAATCATGAAATCAAAAGACAAGGTATTTTATTTAAATTGTTACTAATAGATTGTTTTATTGACGAACAAGAACTTTTGTGATCATGTAAAAATGTTAATAATTTTTTTGATGTGCTGATCACACTTTACATTACTGTAATGTTAGATTTGTTAGTAATGATAAGTTTTGATAACTATTTTTACTTAAAGTTTTCATGTATTATCTGTTCACTTTTTTACATCTTTATAGAAAATTGCACAGTTAGCACAATCACTATTACAGCAGCATTATTACTATAGTTACTGACCTCTTTTGAGATGAAGCATGTGTGCATTAATATTGTTTTTATATGACATTTACAAAATTTTGATTTTATCTATAGAGGAAAATGTATCTGATGATGTCACTAAAGGTATTAAATTCCTGCTGATGACTGCCACTGATCTAGAGCTGAAAGGAGTGTTGGAGCGTTTGAAGCCGTTAGATGGTCGGGATGAAGTTATTGAAAAGTTTAAAAATGGTGTTGATATGTACATTGGAAAGTTTGGGAAGCACCCAGTTGTTGTTGGACAGAGTGCACATACAAAGGAAGAACAGGGCTCCATACGAGCTATAGTAGTCACAAATAAGATAATGGAGATATTTAAGCCAAAATATATAATCGCCATTGGAGTTTGCTTTGGAATGGATCATTCAATTAAAGATCAAGAACCAGTAAACCTTGGAGATGTCATTGTTTCTGACTGTATTGCTAACTTATATAACATTCGTGTGGAACCAGGTTGTATCAAGGCTCGTATAACAGATGCAGACAAAGCAGGAGGCACTCTTGTATCATTTTTTAGGAATCCTCGTAATGATATTGCATCATTAATTGGAAAATCTCGTGCTTTTAAAATGATGAAGCCTAGTTTTGATAAAGAAAATGCCAAAGAAGTCAAAGTTCATTGTGGTCCCATGGTTTCTACTCCTGCTTTGGTGGACGATGCAGAATTTAAGGAGAAATTAAGAGAAGTACGTCCTGATGCTCTCGCTGGTGAGATGGAAGGAGTTGGAATATTTCATGCTGCTAGCAATGCTCATCCGCCTAAACCAGAAGCTATTGTCATTAAAGCCGTTGGAGATTTGGCTGATGGGAAGAAGATTGAATACGAAGCTTGGAAGCCTTTCGCATGTCAGGCAGCTGCAGAATATGTTCTTCATCATTTAGATGATGATCGTGCAATTGATCTGTAGACTGTAGTGTGAACTAGAGTGAAACAATTGTTTTTATTAGAACTATTAGTTTTTTGTAAATTTAGTTTTTGCCTTTTTTGATAAAATTAGTTTTTTGGTCTTAAATAATTACCCACTTTTGATAATAGCTGTTAGTACATGCATAATTTGCACTATTCATAGATATTAGAGTAAATGAAATGAGTAATTTCATTTACCTACTCTAATACGGGTATACCGGTATTCTATGCAGTGCTACCAGACCTAGGGAAATTTCTCTAGATCTAGGGAAAATTGTCTGAATTTAGGGACTAGGGAAGGAATTTCATAAATCATTGAAATCTAGGGAATTTTTTATATTTCCTGATTATAATGATATTCATAGGTATTTTAATGATATTCATAGGTATTTAATGATATTCATAAGTATTAACTACAAGCTCCACCCATACACACTTTATTAACTTTAATATTAATAATGAATAATGGTTAATTAATAATTCATGTGAATTTTTAATGGTTAACCTCTTAAAATTTTAGATTCTTATGGTCTTTTTGGGGGAAAATTTAGGGGAAATGAATAAATTTTTAAGGGTAATCTAGGGGGAAATTTTTGCAAACTTAGGGATTTCTAGGGAAATTTTTGGGACCACCTGGGGAAAAATTGAAATTTGGACCTGGAAGCACTCTTTCTATGGCACTATTCTCTATGCTCCGCCTACTCATAAAAATGGCT